CACATGCAAAGAATTGAGAATTGTAGGTGAGAATAAACACAAAAATCCCTCTGAATGGGCTAAATATTTCAATATATGGCTTGCAATTGCAAAATTTCCCCCACCCAAAACATAATATTAACTATGGTTTCCTCTATTTCACATTAAAAGAACAGATAACAAAAGCAGAATTGAACAAGTGGAACTACATCACAACCAAAATATTCTGCTAAGCGTAGAAAAAAGTCCAGCCTACAGAACGGGAGAATTTAATAGCAAGCCATGCATCTGAAAATGTATTAATATCCACAATACGCACGCAACTTCTACAAGTCATTAGCCAAATCATATTTGCCCGATTGGATAGTGGTCAGTTTTTCACCTTAAAAATTTAATCACATAGATTTCATGTTAAAGGTTCTTCTCTATTGGTAATGGGAAGCTTCATGGTACACTTGGTTATGGTAGACTTTGGAGTTCGTCAACCCAACACTAATATGGCTGGTGCTGTGAATTTACCTACGACATGTTATTAACCCTGTCACTAGCTGACTCTAGGTTAGCTAGATTGTCAATGATAAAATGGCTGGTCCTGGTTCCATCAGCAGAACTGGAAAAAGTGAAATCCCATGGTGATTCAGCAGCTTTGCCTCTCTCTGGGACTTCCAGCCTGTACTTATTGATGGATGATCTTATGGACATTGGATATTCCTAGACATCTCCAAAAACTTTTATCCTCTATGTCTCACAGAAAAGTGGCATGTCCATCTGTAGCTTGGTCAGCCCTGAATAACAGACAGAAAGAGAATCTAAAATATAATAATATTTATTCTAGGATGTGTATTGCATTTGAAATATGTATGGGTGCATTCAGGTTGGAAAAGGAAGATAAAGAATTAAGGAAAAATGAGGAGGGTTACATCAGCTGTTTTAAGACAATTATCCTGGGCTAGAAGGATCAGTATCAGGGGTGTCATCGGTGTAAGGTTGAACAAGCAGTTGCTGGCCAGATGTACTTGGAGAAGTCATTCTTTTAAGGTATGGTGGCCTCCGTGCAAGGCTGTGGTTGTGCAGAGTCTATTTATGGTAGTTCCTGTTATGAGGAATATGTGTGTTAGAACCCTCCTTCACGGCCTTCCCCAGCTTCATTCATTAGGGTTTTAACACAAGTGGCTCCATCTTGAGTCTAATAAATTTCACGAGCTCTTTTCAACACTACTTCTGAAGCAGATGACTCTGACAGTTTGAACAGGGTTAATTCCACATCCACATCCCATTTTGATCAAATTGGTTTCTCCCCTTTGAACGGGTGTCCTGCCCCTCCACGTCTGTGGATATTTCTTGTTGGGTGTGACGAGAGACTGAGAAAAGAAATCAGACACAGAGACAAAGCATAGAGAATGAACAGTGGGCCCAGGAGACCGGCACTCAGCGTACGGAGGACCTGCACCGGCACCGGTCTCTGAGTTCCCTCAGTGTTTCTTGATCATGATTTTCACTATCTCAGCAAGAGGAATGCAGCAGGAGAGCAGGGTGATACTGAGGAGAAGGTAGCAAGGAAACATGCCAGCAAAGGAATCTGCATCAGAAATAAGTTCAAGGGAAAGTCTTATGCCTGGATGTGCACGTAGGCCAGATTTATGCTTCTCTCCACCCAAACATCTCAGTAGAGTAAAGAATAACAAAGCCGCATTGCTGCCAACATGTCTCGCCTCCTGCCACAGGACGGTTTTTCTCCTCTCTCAGAATTGAACAAACGTACAATTGGGTTTTATACTGAAACATTCCATTCCCAAGGGGAGGCAGGAGACAGAGGCCTTCCTCTTATCTCAACTGCAAGAGGCCTTCCTCTTTTACTAATCCTCCTCACACAGCCCCTTCACGGGTTGTGGGCTCGAGGATGGTCAGGTCTTTCCCTTCCCACGAGGCCATATCTCAGGCTATCACATGGGGAGAAACCTTGGACAATACCCGGCTTTCCTGGGCAGAGGTCCCTGCAGCTTTCCGCAGTGCACTGTGCCCCTGGTTTATCGAGAATGGAGAATGGCGATGACTTTTACCAAGCATACTGCCTGTAAACATTTTGTTAACAAGGCACATCCTGCGCAGCCCTAGTTCCCTTCAACCTTGATTCCATACAACACATGTTTTTGTGAGCTCAAGGTTGGGGCAAAGTTACAGATTCACAGCATCTCAGGACAAAACAATTGTTCAGGGTACAGGTCACCATGAAGTTTCTTGTGTCTTCCTTTTCTACATAGACACAGTAACACCCTGATGTCTCTTTCTTTTCCCTACACCCCTTCACTACTAACGGCCAATCGCATTCCCAGATGATCCTACACACAACACACTGGAGGGTTCTGAGCAAACGGGGAGAGAAGGAAGTCCCATCGGCCTCTCCCACGTGGCTGCAGGAGCCACAGCCTGAGCCCCACCTGAGCTCCAAGAAAACGTCGCGAGCCCTGGAATGTAGACCACGGAGGCCATTTGTTTCTTTTTCAGGAAGCAGGAAAAGCAAATGATTATGAAGAACAAACACTACAAAGTAAGAACGTGGTCTGCGAGCAAAAGGAGCACCAGGTCAGTGTTGATGCTGATTGACTTTAGTGTCAGGAGAAGGGTCAGAGGTGAAACCTGCGAGGTTCTGCATGACACTGACCCTGGTCCAGGCTCTCTATTGGCTGTGATCAAACTTCCTAACAACTGTGCTGTTCAGGAAATCTCACTGAGGTTTCTGTCCTGGGAGTGACTGGAGAAGACTCACCAGGCATCCCTGAACATCCTCAGGACTCTGATCCTGGCGCCCATGGTTGAGCACTTTTCATCTATCTGCATTTTGTGCATGTGAGATTAGGTCCTCATATTAAAATGATCTTTAAAAATATGCAGAAATGACATTAG